GGAAGGACTAACACACACTCACACCATCACACACACAAAGGCACTAATATAAACAGGAATGGGGAATGGACAAGCACACACACACACACACACACACACACACACACACACACACACACACACACACACACACACACACACACTGAGCAGGGGACTGACACACACACACGTCGAGCTAGGGACAAAGAAGCTGGGGACTAAAAGGACACAGAATGTAAATGAGACCTGGAGGGCCTGGGCATGAATGAGATGACACAAGACCTGGGAGGAATAGACTTAAAGGACTACCAACATAAGGACACATATTGGACGCAGACAAAGGACACATGAGGGTGCTATGAGACACAAAAGGGGAATCTAAAGAGGGATGGAGGACATAAGGAGACACATGAGGAAGACACAGACGCAGACCATGACAACTTGTTTTTTATGAGAAAATAAAATTTGCTGATCTGCCAACAACTTGTTTTCATTCAAATGTTTAATTCAATTCTCAGTCTCTGCTCTTAATTTACTGCTTTAGGTCATATATGCAAGTTGTGAAGTTTAAATTACTTTAAAGGTATACTATGCAACCTTTTCCTACTTTAAATCATTGTTTTGAGCCAGTTTGAGCTAAAATGACCCTTTACAGTGTTAATTAAATGTTTTGCAACTTCAGAGATGTCCCTGCGGGGGGGGGGGGGGGGGGGGGGGGGGCTGTGGAGTGGAGTAGATTTGACATGGTGGAGCTGGAGTCTGCTTCCAGCACGTTTCCTGCATGTTTTAGATCATGAACACAGCTAATTTGTTTGATTTATTGATGAACCACTCCTCTAGAAACTAATGAATGCTGAGGAGACATTTCAGCAGTTAGATTAAGGTGTTAAAAAGATAAACTCACAGCAAGGAGACAAGTTTCATTTTCGGTTTAACCACAGTCAATTAATAATGGACACTAGGGGGTGCTAAAAGCATGCAAAACTGCCGAGTATCCCTTTAAAGCAAAAAATAAATAAATTGATATGAGTGGTTCAGCCACTCTTGCCAAACTACATTCTGAGTATTTTACATGGTGCACGCATATTACACACAGCTACAATAAAAACCATCAATGTTTAAAACAGTTGTTAAAACAGAGTGTCTTCAGTAGGAGACGTCTTCAGATCAACAACACAGACCTTTAGAGACAATCGCTCCAGCCTACAAAGTAAACCTGCTATAATGACTCTTTAAAAAGTCAAAAATTCTAACTCTCGGTTAAGTTCAACCAATATCAAAAATATTGCCTGGCTAACCAACACACATTAGATGACACCATAGAGAAGAGACATGTATATGGGATTTGAATTATTAAGAAAAATGTATAGGGGTAGAAGAAGTCACTGAATTCATCTCTCTGGTTGATCAACACACTTATGTGTTAGAAAATATTGTATTTTTTGTCACCTTTTGGAGCTGGTGGAGCCATGGTTTCCTCTCTGCACTACATAACAGGTGCAAAAGCACCGGTGTGTGTCAAGAACGTTAATTTGTTATAATGCCTTGCAATGTGTTGTTTGCAAGGCTACATCGTAAGTTAAATAATGCAAGCATCAAACTGAGATTCATTATCTGCAGATATTTAATCTGAACTAAATCATATTAGTCTCTGACAAATAAAACCTTGATGAGCACAACCCTATGCCACTGTTCTGTACAAAGTTTTGCCATTTTCTGTCAGTTATTTATAAATACCAAATACTGTATTGACCCAATTATAAGACAAGGTTTTTTTTTCATTGAAAATAATTTTAAAATGTGGGGTCGTCTTATTATCGGTTTCTAAGCATTTACACATGCTGATATTTGTCTTGGGTCATTACATGCCCGTAACAGCAGAGGGCGCCAGGCTGTGTGTTCTCAACAGGAGAAAAAAATGGAGACTGGGGGTCTGGAGCAGAGTGGACCGAAAGTGAGGCAAGTTAACACATTATGGCAGAGTTATGCGAATTTTAAGATCACGGTGGTCAATTCAGCAGAGGCATCAAACATTGCATGCATGGATGCCTTGGATGGCAGTGAGGTTGACGTTCAGTGAGAGGAGCTGGCAGGTGTAGCAATCTGATGATGCCACAGATGCACGAGAGTGAGTACAGCGAGGGAGAGGGCGTCTGAACAAAAGCCTCATTTGACTTTTTTCACATGTCAGCAAAGTTCTGATAGTTTGCATTAAAATAGTATTTGTACTCAGTATTTGTTCTCAAATTTTCAATAAAACAGTTTATTTAAAAAGTTTTTTTTTCATTTCCTGAAGATTAGTGATAATCTTTACTAGGTTTTGAATAGAGCTGCAACATGCAGCAAGGAGAAATGGGAGTTAGACAAAACATTTTTTGAGCATGCAGTTTACCGAAAACAACATTTAAAAAACGGTGGTCCAGTTGTTAAGTGCCCGCCCCACAGAGAACACACAGGATGGCCCAAATTAGTGATGGCATTCTCCTGGAAGTAATACCTGTTCTTGTGGCCATTGCCTACTGTAGCATTTTCATGTTAAAAACTCAGTTGTTAAAGCACAGATGAGAGCCCTCAGTCCTGGGGGATGCTCTCTGCAACATCTTGACATAGTCAGTGGCCATTTGATGAAACTGCACCTCCTTAAGTTCTATTGTTCCACTGAAGTAAAAAGTATCTCAGACCATGTTGGCACTTCTCCACTCTGGTGCGTAGAAAACATCTCAGGTAGCATCTGTTTGTCAAGTCAGTAATGTGGGAAACCATCAGGATCATCAATGTGAAATTTCTTCTCGTCAGAGAGCAAAACTTCTTCCACCTTTTATCTTCTTCCTTGCAAATTCCAAACTGTCAGTTCTGTGGCATGAACAGAAACGTGGCCTTTGAAGACATTTTTTGCTTTTGAAGCCATTCAGTCACAAATGCCGTCTGATGGGCATGGGACTGCATTTGTCACCAGCGACAGCCTTAAGTTGGGTCAAGGATCATCCAGTGTCTTGATGGACAGCCAGCTGGATCCTCTGACTCAGTGCTGGTCCATAAAATTTACGGACAGAATCGGTGACAAAGTGCAGTCTTGGTGGAGTCCAATTCTCACTGGAAACTAGCCCGACTTATTGCCAGCAATGCGGACCAAGCTCTGACACTGGTCATACAGGGAACTAACAGCCCATATAAGAGGACCTGGTACCCTGGTACCCCATACTCCCGAAGTACCCCCCAAAGGGTCTCCTGAGGGATGTGGACAAACATCTTCTTCAAATCCACAAAACACATGTAGATTGGTTGGGAAAATTCCCACGCACTAGGACCCCCGAAGGGTGTAGATCTGGTCCAGTATTCCATGGCTACGACGAAAACCACATTGCTCCTCCTGAATCTGTGGCTCGACAACCCCATAAACCCTCTTCTCCAGAACCCCTGAATAGATTTTACCAGGGAGGCTCAGGAGTGTGATTCCCTTGTAGTTGGAACCCATCCTAGGATGCCCCTTTTTAATTCAGGGGATCACCAACCCAGTTTGCCAATCCAGTGGAACTGCCCCCAATGTCTACGTGATATTGCAGAGCCGCATCAACCAACATAGCCCTACAACATCCAGAGCCTTAAGGAAGTCTGGGCAAATCTCATCCACTTTGGAATCTGTCAGAGGTGGGAATTGAAACTTCTGACAGGAGACTCTGCCAGAAGTTCCCCGCAGATCCTCACAATACGTTTGGGCCTGCCAGGTCTGACCGGCATCCTCCCTCAGAATTGAAGCCAAGTCATCATTCTCCCTTAGGTAGTGGTCAGTTGACAGCTCCGCTCTTCTCTTCACCTGAGTGTCCAAAACACATGTGGCCGCAGATCAGATGAGACGGCAAAAAAGTCGATCATCAAGCTGCGGCCTAAGGTATCCTGGTGCTAAGAGCACATATTGACACCTTTATGTGTGAACATGGTGTTCATTATGGACAATCCATGACAAGGACAGAAATTCATAACAAAACGCTGCTCGAATTCAGACCAGGGGGGCCATTCCTCCCCACCACACCTCTCCAGGTCTCAATGTGTTGATTTGTAGAATGAGTTCTTTTTTAATATATTAAAGAAGGATTCTGAACCTATAATTTCATGTAGACAACATTAAAATAAAAAAGAAAGAAAGAAAACAGCAGCCAACGAATTCCAGAAGGGTGGGCCATAACAGAATAATGACAATAAACTGGAATTTGAGAGTGTTTCTGCTCCAACACCAGTACTTCCTTCAGTCAATATTTTATAATATACTTCATGCACTGCCATGAAAATAAATGATCTGAGAACTTTAGTAGATTGCCTTGCTTGTATAAATATGTTTCCATGAAATGATTTTACAGCACCTCTTTCCATCATTACCAGTCACTTGATGTCTTTGACACTGTTTGAATGCAGAGACAGAAGCTGTATGTAGACACACACAGTGGGAAACGATGAGATAACTCTACAAAAACTTCATTTTTCTTAGTTTGGCATATATATATATATATATATATATATATATATATATATATATATATATATATATATATATATATATATATATATGACTTGGCATTATTGCGCTCCGTACATTAACTCCTCAGACTAAGTCTGCACACCAGAAAACAAGCATGAAAACAGTTATGGACAAAGAGAAAAGTAACTGATGATGAATCAGCTTTACAGTGCAAACTGTAGTTAAATCAAAAACATCTGGAGGGCCGACTGCACCTGTTATCTTAATTTATTGTATTTATTTGGTTGTTCATTTTCACTTCTGCAACAAAGTTAGGTTCACTGAGAGAAAAAGTGTCAGTGGCATAACTGAGGCTAAAATCCCTCTCCGCTGAGATGAGTTGGAAAACAGAGATTGGATCAATGTAAAATGACTTGGCAGGAAAGGAAAATGACTTTCAAAGGAGTAGTGGTGCATGGTTAGACCAATATGAACTCAGTGGTCTACAAATGGAATGAGAAGCTGAGTCAAAGAACATGTCTGCACAAACACACAGACATTTTCAAACCTGTGATAAAGAATGTGGATGTCCATCTGGCACAGCATCTTTCCTTATCTCACTCTGTACCAGCTGCTTCTGGATATTTGGAGACTTGATTTGCCTTCAGAGACAGAAAACGACAGATAGACACAGGTGGAATAAATAATTAATACCCGAAATCATCCTGTAGAAATACACATGAAAGAAGGATGCTGGTGAAGATGACTTCAATCTTGGAAAACCCCTCTAACCCACTGCATTTCACTGTGGAGGCCATGGACAGCTCTATCATTGGCAGACTGAGACATCCCAGATGCAATACAGAACACTACCGTAGGTCATTTATCCTCTCTGCAGTTAGAGTCGATAACTCCTCAGTTTAACTAGTACTGGCATTATCCTGTTCACAATAACATCAATGCAATATTCAGTATGTGTTCAATACTTGTGCAATACTGGATGAACATTAGTATGTCCGTGTCCTTTGCTGTGTATAGTTCTGGAAACACACATTTTCTTTAATTCATTGTTTTTAGGGGTTGAAGGTTACAATAGTACAGTAGCTTATTGTTTTGTGTGTTTAACTGTAATGTTGTTATCATTTTTGTTTTCTTAGTTTTCTCTGAGTGGTTGTGCTGCTGTTGCAAGCGAATTCCCCCACTGTATGATTAATTAAATCTATTCTATTATATTCCAAACACCTCATGACTTGGATGCCAGTAAGTCTAATATGGTGGAGGGGTTATAGGTCGTAAAAGCATTTTCATCATCATTCTTCTAAAAATGCTCACACTAACTCTTCAACTGACTGCCCATTTGTCCAGAACCTGCTGCCTCAGCTAACTGTGCGGAGCAAAGTTTGTTGTTAAAAGAGGTTTCCAAGCAAGGAATTCAAACATGTTTATTTTACCCTTTGGTATCAAAGAACAAAGCGACAAACAATAATTTGTCATGCATGGGAGATGTGCCAGTAAAAAGCTTTGACCATCCAAGAAGAACAATGGAACTAATCTTTAATACAGTAAAGACCAGGGGTGTTACGCCTGCCACACATGAGAATGGCCTCAAATGACTGTTTGCTCAGCAGATACCTTGCTGTGTGCATCTGATTTTCACTCAGTTTTCCACCTCACGAGACACTCAGGTGAATATCTGACCAGTTTGATATTTTCTGCTTCACGGGGGTAAAAATTCACCGTATGCACTCTACAAGAACCAATCAGCAAATGGAACAGGTCAGCCAAAAAACACAGTGCCTCCAGTGTGTCCTGTGTATTACGTTTTTAGTTTTTCTCCTGAGGTGCCTGGGGCGCTACATCAGGGAGCATCCAAGAGGCATTCTAAACAAATGCCTGAGCCACCTTAACTGACTCTCTTGATGTGGATGAGCAGCATGGGTCTGAGCCCCTCTCAGATCACCGAGCTTCTCACCCTATCTCTAAAGCCCCCTTCAGACAGGCCATGAAAAACGGAAATATTCTGGAATCTGTCCGTAAGACCTTTCTGTCTGAATATAAACATCCGGATAACGTGTTCCGGAATTTATCCGGAGGAAGCCCCTAGTAACAGGTCCGGACTTGTTACGGACAGGGTGGCTGCTTCAGACTGGTGAGGTAAAGTTCCGGACAAGGGGGAGGGGGAGGAGGAGGGGACCGGGGGACGCTGTGCGCACCTACATAGCCCGCTGCTGTAGCATGTGGCGAACCACGGCAGCTCGCCTCCTACGGTACCGCCTAGACGCATGACGGAGCGCTTCACACCGCTTCAGTGATTCCTTTAACCATTGAGCTTCATCATCCAGGTCTCTTATGCATCTTCGTGTGCGCAGAATTATGCTTAAGCGCCTCGTGATTTTTATCTTGAGAGGCGCTATAGAAATGATATTTTTTTCTTCTTCTTCTTAACATAAGTCCGATCCCCACCCCCCACCCCACCCCCCGCCGCCGTCAGACATCTGGAACTTTTCCCTGCTGTGTGAACGCAGCCAAAAGGACAAGTTCCGGTACAAAAGTGGTGTGTCTGAAAACACAGTTCCGGTTAAAAACCGGATTGAATTGTCCGCAAATGTTCCAGAATGTCTATCTGAAAAGGGCTTAAGGAAGAGATCAGTCACCCTGAGGAGAAAAGTCATTTTGGCTGCTTGCAATCGCATTCTTTCTGTAACTGCCCAAAACTTGCGACTATAGATGATGGTTGGTAAATCAAGAGCTTTGCCTACTGGCTCTGCTCTCTTTTCACCTTGATAGACTGTTACAACGCTGATATCGGTGTAGAGGCAAACCCAATATGCCTTTTACTCCCCCACTGCATTTTTCCCTTATCCGTGAACAAAATTCTGAGGTACATAAACCCCATTCATTGGGGGCAGGGCCTTATTGCTTGCCTGGAGAAGGCATTATTTCCATTTCTAGCACAAGACCAAGGTCTCAGATTTAAAGGTGCTGATTTTCATCCCAGCCCCTTTACACTCTGTTGCAAACCAGCCAACAGGACCATGTCATCTGCAAAAAGTAGAGACCCGATCCTTAGGCCACCATAAAGGATTTCTTCAACCCCTTGGCTGCTCCTAGAAATGTATCCATCCATCCATTTCCTTCTGCTCATCTGGAGTCGGATCGCAAGGGCAACAACCTAAGTTGAGAGACCCAGACTTGCCTCTCCCCAGCCGCTTAGGCCAGCTCTTCCGAGGGGATCCCAAGGCATTTCCCAGCCAGCAGAGAGACATAGTTCCACCAGCATGTCATGGGTCTTCCTTTAGGTCTCCTCCCGGTGGGATGTGCCCAGAAAACCTCACCAGGGAGGCGTCCAGGAGGCATCCTAAACAGATGCCCAAGCTACCTCAACTGGCTCCTCTCAATGTCCACCTAGAAACCCTGTCCATAAAAATTATGAAGAGAATCGGGCAGCCTTGGAAACAAGCCCAACAGTCGGCAATACGAACCAAGCTCCGAAAACAATCATATAGGGACCTAACAGCCTGTATCAAGGGGTCAGGTACTTCATGCTGCTGGTAAACCCTCCACAGGACCCCCTATGTGACATTGTTGAATGTCCACAAAACCAGTGTTGGGAGTAACAGTGTTTTTTGAATAACAGCTTTACACCAGGCGCAAAAGCATCATCATCCCATTTGTGGCATGAGTCTCAGAGAAGCCGAGAAGAGTTTTCTCCGAACAACATTCTGGTAAACTTGACACCCAACAACACACTCAGGCAGAAATTGGTCCGTCCAAAAGACAAGACACCCAAACAGAAGGTTATTGGCATTGTTTATGGATTACCATGACCTGGATGACTGAGAACCTTCACCAGCATATTTACTAATGGCGTTATTTTGTAGGTAACAAAGTAATCTAATTACTTTTCCCATCCTTGCAGCACCATTACGCTATTGGACAGATAAAGTGGCGGTTACTACAATGTAGTTGAATGAAGCGCAGCAGTGTCAGGCCCTCTGACAGCCACATCCGTGATGTTGGTCACTAACGAAGCAGCTCTGTACCTGCATTCCCACAAACCAAACATGACTATCTAGTCAACCCTTCTCTTCAGAGTCCCTGAATAGACTTTACCAGGAAGGCTCAGGAGTGTCATCCCTCTGTAGTTGGAACACACTCTGCAGTCGCCCTTTTGAAATAAGGGGACCACCACCTTGGTCTGCTTGAAATCAGACATTCCTAATTTTAGGGTTTTAATTCCAATAAATATACAATGTCATCAACTCAAAACAATTTCAAGGTTTTTTTATACATACTAAATCGTATTTTATGTCATTTACTAGTTGTGGTTCATTGAATAAATGCATGCATCTTGAAATATTTGCTATTGTTGAATTGTCATGTTTGCTCATTTTTCAGCATATTAGAACACGGTGGAGCTGGTATGCCAGTTGAGGACAAAGGCTGAGTGTGCATCAAGTCAAAATACAGCCGACTGAGACAAGACAAGACTTGACTGATGGAGGTGAGACACTGGAGTGTAAGTCTTTCAACAACGAAAAAAATCACAAATATGAGAAAACTGATGCATGCACACAAACAAACAGACAGTCACAAAAACAGGTTTAACTCTGCAAGATTTCATTAAATACACAAACAACATTATATAAAAAGCATGCTGGATGACCCGCAGATTAGACATATTAATACAATGCAAAAAATGAATTACAACTGCTAAATTCGGTGCAAGAAAAAAAAATGTTCATGACAATCTGTATGACCTTACTTGCACACACCCCAACCCCACCAACATACGCTCTCTCTCTCTCTCTCTCTCTCTCTCTCTCTCTCTCTCTCTCTCTCTCTCTCTCTCTCTCTCTCTCTCTTCACACACACACACACACACACACACACACACGCACACACACACGCACACACACGCACACACACACACACACACACACACACACACATACACACACACACACACACACACACTTAGAAAGCTGACAGTGACAAATTAGTTCTTAAGAGAACCCTCAAACACTGTAAACAAGCTGTGACTGAGCAGCTGTTAAAATGCACCACATTAATATTCTACATCCACATTGGTGTGTTTGCTCTGGGCAAAATTGACAAGCTGCCCCCACATGTGAGCAAATATTGGCTGTCACAACCTTACAAATGTTGTATGTGTGTGTGTGTAAGATTTTATGACTTATGTCAGTGCGTAAGTAAAGTGAAATATAGCTAACACGATGATAAGTTCATTCCCCCCCCGACAAACACACACACACACACAGCAGGGCCCTTCAAAACACTCAAGGAAGTATTATGCGTGTTATAAAAGAAGACAACTGCTTACATTTTTGACAATATTTAAATCTCATTTGTGAAAACCACACTTAAAACTTGCTGGTTTGCCAATTTGATGCCACTGGTTTGTATTTTCATTTTGTGTGTTGGATTTTTCAGCTTCTTGAGGAGATCACATGCTGTTATTCTTTTCCTCCTCTCAACCTTATCCTGTCTAACACTCTCTGTCCTGTTCTGTCTATCATTAGAATTTTTTTTCAAAACATTGGGTTTGGTCAGTTGGTCTCTGAATGCAACTGAGAGCTTAACTGAGATCCAAGAGTGTATTCACTTTAATTTTTACAACGTACAACACTGGTTAGTTCAT